CCTTTCTCTGAGTCGGATAGAGACCTACGCCAGGTGACGGGATTCCTTTAGGCATTGTGTGCCCTGTCTGTGTCTCCACAGATGCCTGGCTCTGAGCCGATTATGAGTGGAAACCAGTCCGTCTGCACCACGTTCACGTTTGTGGCGTTCTCCTCTCTGGAAGAGTTACAGCCTGTGCTCTTTGTTGTGTTCTTAACCATTTACTTGTTCACGGTGGGAGGAAACCTCCTCATCATCTGCTTGATCGGGGCCACCCCTTCCCTGCACACGCCGATGTATTTCTTCCTGGTCAACCTCTCCTTTCTGGAGCTGTGCTACATCACCAGCGTGGTGCCTCAGATGCTGGTGCACCTGCTGGTGGAGACCAAGACCATCAGTGTGGGAGGCTGTGCAGCTCAGATGTACGTATTTACCATCCTGGGACTGACAGAGTGCTGCCTGCTAGCAGCCATGGCTTATGACCGCTTTGTAGCCATCTGTCACCCCCTGCATTACACTCTGCTGATGGGCCCTCCCGTGTGTCTGAAATTGGCCGCAGCATCGTGGACCACCGGGGTCGTGGTGGAGTCAGCCCAGACCACGTGGATCTTCACTCTGCCCTTCTGCGGAACAGGAGAGATTCAGCACTTTTTTTGCGACATCATGCCTGTCGTGAGACTGGCTTGTGTTGACACGTCCCACAATGAGATTGTGCTGTTCGCTGTGTCCGCGCTCTTCATCATGAGTCCCTGCCTCCTCATCCTGTGCTCCTGCGCGCGCGTTCTGCTGACCATCTTGGGAATCCCTTCGGCCGCCGGCAGACGCAGAGCTTCCTCCACTCGCTGCTCTCACGTCCTGGTTGTTTCTCTCTTCTATGGCACCGCCCTGTTCGCGTACCTCCAGCCGAAGGCTGCGCACTCTCCGCAAGCAGACAAAGCCGCTGCGCTCCTGTACACGGTGGTCACGCCTGCTCTGAATCCCGTCATCTACGCCTTGAGGAACCAGGACGTGAAGGGAGCCTTTCAGAGACTAACACGAAGGAGCCCTTTCAGACAAATGGCCTGAACCTCACACTGCCGCACAGAGAGGTCACCCAGGTCTCTGACCGCCCTGCCAACACGGTGCGTCATTCACGTACTTACAGGATGGCGACCAGGAGACCCTTGGATCTGTTCCATGTTTCTCAATGTTTAGGCAGGGGAACTATGTGGTAGGGTCATTTTTCTATCATTTGCTTATTACATGATTTAAATTATTTATCATTTGTTCAACAATATTCAATCAACAAATGTACTGAGCATCTCCTGGGTCCTGGACACCATTCATTTTTTTCCCTTCTACAGTGGTAGTGGAATTAAGGTTAGTATGTTTCACACCATTTGACCGAAGAAAATGAAATGTTCTTCTCTAGAAAAAAATTAAAAATGAATATGAAGTAATTAACACATTTTAGTGCCAAACATAGGATGCTGTGATTTAAGTCCTGAAGTGGAGTACGTGTTCCTAACTAGTCTGCTCTGTATACATCTTAATAATCAGGCATCTGAAATAATCAACTGCTAATAAATACTGATGAGTGATGTACATTGTGATACGCCTCTAAGTATTTAACTTGTAAATCCAGTGAGGGACACTGAATTTTTGTCCAAAGCTAGATTTTTCCTTTTCTCTTATCTACTGATTTTTTGTTTTTTCATATGAATTAAGTTTTAGAGAAATATACATTATATATATATATATATATATATATATAGGCCAATTATAAAAATATGACACTGCTATTCAAGTTTTTTCCCCTATTTATCTAATTTTAAAATTGTGATTGTTTTTGCTTTCAATTTTTCTATCATTCTCTGCAGAGTATATTGCTTTGTTCAACTGATTATTCTAATCACATTGAATTTCAAAGCAGTTCCTCTCCAAGGTAAAAGTTTAAAAGACTATTTTCCACACATATCATTAGAGACCTATCAATACTGACTGTTGGTTTAGAAGAATGAGGAGAAGATCCAAAAAAGCAACCTCAAATATGCCCTATTGTATAATGTACGGCAGGGAAAAGATGTGCACAGATCCTGAGTTTAAGTAACAGAAAGTCATGGACACCAC